CGGCCAGTATGAGCCCAAGTGTTAGGCTACAGCGTAGGGATCATTCTTGCTAATAGCGATCTGCGACTTTAGTGCAAAAACGCATAATCGCACCGGAGAGCCTGGTGCGTTCCAGCCTGGGTAGACATAGCCAACAGATATATGTTTCATCGTTTCGGAAGTCACCGAATGAAATGTTCTTCTGTATTTACAACGCCCATAGTTATCAGCCAAGCACGAATTCCAAGCATTTACACATACACTGATATAAAGCAGATGGTGGACAATAAAAATTTATGGGCAGTCACCAAGATACTTGCTTTGATACTTTGATCTGTGCCATTATCCAGCTACGCATCGAGCAACTTTTCCATTTGCTTTGGTCAGTGCTGTGTCGTTTGATGGTTAGTGTACTGACGATCCTAATGTTCATTTTGTCTCCTCAATGAATTACTGGTTCATTGATTTGCCCGACGCAAATACTTGGTAGTGCTTAGCCGTTTCGGCATTTCACAGATATGTGATGAGCATTACCGCTTTCCTATCGAACGTTCTTTAACGTTGATCAAAGTAACCGAAACTATTGTGAGCTACAGAGTTAGAGAATAAGGCTGCAAATTGTAGCTGATAAAATTACCAAGGATGGTCATAACTGGAAAAGTGTTTGAATTCACTGATTTTTCCTCGAGAATTCAGAATGTTTTTAAAATAAAGCGCTTCTACTTTTCCAGAGCAACTGGTCCAGAATTCCACTTCGTTGAAAATTTTCAGGCGCGAAAAAGCGTTGCAAAACTTCGGCTTCGAAAAGATCCACAGCGAGCTCATTCGAGCGATGGGCGTAGATGATGATGATGACATTCTCCGCGGTTATATCGAGCTCTCCGCTAAGTTAATTTCGTTCTTCCCATACTTACAACGTGTAAATCTTGTAGGAAATCACGGCTCCGATCCAGATGATCACAAGCAACTTCATGCAAAGCGATTATTTTTGATTCGCTAGCCAGTTATTGATTGATATCGATTGTTTTTTTTTAAATGAAGTAAGCGAAATGTGTTTATGACACCTCGTGAGTGAATTCTAGCACATGCAGAGATA